ACTTGAGAATAATTAAATGTTTTTAGCAAAAATTTGGTATAAGTGATCTGCAGACAGAGTTGCCGTTTTTTTTTTTTTTGTTGGTACTTTATTATTTCTTGAAGCTTTCATTATTTCTTAGAGCTTTTATTGTTTGTTGGTGCTTTGTCATTTCTTGGAGCTTTTGTCATTTGTTGGTCTTTATTGTTTGTTAGAGCTTTTAATATTTCTTGAAGCTTCATCATTTCTTGAAGCTTTTATTATTTGTTAGTGCTTCATTATGTTTTAGAGCTTTTGTCATTTTTTGATGCTTTGTTGTTTATTAATACTTCATCATTTCTTGAAGCTTCACTATTAGTTGGTACTTCATTTCTTAGAGCTTTCATTATTTGTTGGTACTTTATCATTTCTTAAAGCTTTTATTATTTCTTGAAGCTTTTGTTATTTGTTAATGCTTTGTTTTTTGAAGCTTTTATTATTTGTTAGTGTTTTATTATTTTTTAAAGCTTTGTTGTTTCTTAGAGTTTCAGTATTTCATTTCTTAGAGAATTTTGTTTTTTTTTCATTCTTTTCTAATCTTACATTTTTTAGTTAACTTTTGGATTCTAATTTGTTGTTTAATTAAAGTGATTGGGTTTTTTTTGTAAATGGGATTTTTTGTATATAGATGTTTATTATATAATAATGTAAATGTTGTTAGTTTGTTGTAGTTTAGTGATTGTTATATAATTGCATTAGTTTTTTTTTTTTTAATAAATAAAGATCTTTTTTAAAATAAAAACTAACAAAATGCAAATCATTAACTCTTTTTGACAATTACTTGTACCAAATTTTACTTCATATAATTAATTATTACTCAATATTTTATTAAATAAACTACTTTTAAACATCTAAATAAAGTTGTTTCTAATATAATTTATACTTAAACAGCCTAGTTATATATCTCTAAACCTTTTATTTATTGAGATATTTTTATTAAATATAAAAACATTTCTATTCAAGTTATCTTAAACTTTTACTAATTAAACAACTCTTGTATCTTAAAACAAAAAAAAAGAGCTTATCTACTGCCTTATTTTGATATATAATTTATCAAAAGCAACCTAAAATTGATTAATTTATTGACAAAATACATTTAAACTCTCTTAAATTTTTTTTTTATTTTTTGCAAATTTTTTTTTTGTTTTTTTGAGAGGCTACTCTGGTCTGCCCTATCCAAAATTACCCAAAACAGGATTACTAATCAATATTACACAATTTATTAATTACAAATTTGTATTCTTACAATTTTATACAACTTTTTTGTTTAATGTCAATTTTAACTTATAAATAGATCTGCAAAGTATTACATACTTTTTGTAATATCTTTTTATTTGTCATACTTTGTGTTTGTTACATCTCTTCAATTATCACATCCTTTATTTATTACACTTTTATTTGTCATCTCTTTTTATTTATTACACTTTATATTATTAACATCCTGTCAGATTCAAGAATCTTAATATCAAATCTGTTTTTATTTTCAAAGCAATTATGTTTACATTAATTAATCAAGATTCAGACCAATATGATTTAGATTACTTTTTAGCTAAATATAGTGATCACTTTGATGTCATGGCTAAAAAAATAACTTATAACAAATTAAACCTATTTAATTTGCTATGCACCTAACCAAATATAATAAAAAAAACAAAATTCACTATTTCAAAGCATCTTATCAATCTTTTGTTATCTAATGTCTTTGCAAAACTTATCATACTTTGTTTACATCTCATTATTACCAACTTCCTTCAATATCTGCAACACCTTTTCCAACTTCTAGATCTGCTACTTCTATAAATATAACTCCAAATCAATTCAAAAAAACCAAGAATACTATCTCTTAATTACCTGTAAGCAAAATTTCTTTATTCCTATTCAACTATGACAACTCATCTGTTGTTACTTTTTCAACTATTACAAACCTTGTACCTAATGCTGTAGCTATTAAAGCTCATATACAATATACTCACATCTGTATTATTTGTTATAAATCAAATATTCTATATGTTTTTTTAACTAAAAACAAACACTCTCTTGATTCTATTGCTAAAATCTTATATGAATATCCCACTCATCCTAGCTGTATTTCTAACCTCAAGTTAAAACCATTAATTCAAACCAAATCTCTTAACAACAATGATTAGACTTTTTTACTGCTAAATTTGCTTTTATCAAAAAAGAAGAAAAAATTCAAATTTTAAAAAATTCTTTTAACTTCTTAAGAAAAATGATTCACTTAGCAAAAAATAAAAATTTCACAACAAACAAAAGAAAATCTTCTTGACTAGGTTCAAAAATATTTAATCACAACTGAAATAGAACTATTTACTAACTTTAATACACTATTATCTTAGCAAATCTTTGATTTTTTTAAACCTTATCTTATCAATTTTGTATTAGAAAAAATTACTAAACCTGCAACTGAACTTAAACAATTATCTAAATAGAGTTTTAAATATTTTATTAAAACTTTTGCTGGTACACAACCTAAGTTCTTTACAGATATTATTTATCAACACAATTCTATTATCGATAATTTAATTACTATATCTTTCAATATCTTATACTCAATTCTTAAAATGCTTCTTTATAAATTTACTACAACTCTTTTGTCAAACTTAACTATTCTAAAATACTTTCTTTATACAAATTAATTTCTTTTTATACTTTACAAAATCGCTTCTAAGTAGCATTTTTTTTTTGATATTAAGGTGAGGTTTTGCTCATATCTTTATTAGTAATTTTAGTTATATATATTAATATACTATATTTTAAAGATATACTAAGATTGTAAAATACAAAATAAAAACTATATACAAGAATTAAAGCACAAACAACATTATCTGTGACCTAAATCAACTATGGTGGTCAAGGTTTACCTAAATTTGTAATATTAAAATATGATTATAAAATGTGCTATGATTAATCCAAAGTGTTAACTATATATTAATTTTCCTAATAGCCTGTCCAATTGGTGGACAAGTATTTGAATATAAGTGTAATTGATCTGCTATTCCACATAAACATGAGTATGTATAGTTTGTATATGAACTTTTGTAATGTCTAATTTGTTGTAGCTATTGTAAAGTATTATGAGTATTATGAGTTTGAAGAGATATAATATTGTTATTTTTTTTTCAGTTAGAGAGGTCAATGCAATATGGTTTCCATATTTGGTTGTAAATTTGATTATTAATATTAAGAAGTGTTTGAATAATAATTTGCAAAGCTATCTTAGTTGGTATATTGTAATTATGGATTGTTTCAATTAAAGCTTTGGGTATAAGGCCTTTAAGAGTAAGATCCAGATAGAAAGAGTTTGCTTAAAATGGTATTCAGTTAAAGGAAGAATGTTTTTGAACTTTTTGAATAAGTTCATGAAGTTGGCTAGTAGATAAGTTAAGATCTACTTTAGATAAAATGTACTGAATTGATGAATTAATAATATTTGTTATAAGAGAAGAGTTAAGACAAGTTAGCCAGTATGAGTAAGAGTTAGAAAGATTACATCGGAAGCAGTTAGTATTTGTAAAGATAGTTAGATAAATGTTATGAAAAAAAAAATATATTGGTAATTCATTCAGTAGAGCTTTGATTTTAAAAGCTTTGAATTTATTGAATTTGAAACTAGTAAAGTTGGATAAGAGTTTTTGGTTATGATTAAGATATAGCCATGTTGATTGCCAGTTTATGTAGTGATTAATATGAGACCATTTATTTCTTTTTTGTGAAGACCACATTGCTAATATATAAGCTTTGCAAATATTTTTAATAAAGTATTAGGTAGGAAGCTTAATAGGATTTTGTTCCCATTGTAAAATATGAAAAGGGTTATAAATGTTTGTATATTAAAAGTTTAAAGGCAAGAAGAAAGTATGTTGTTTTGCTAGGAAGTCAGCCATATTATTAAAGATATTATCTGTATGAGCTTGAACTTTGTGAAAGTTAATATTTAAATTGAATGATTTAATGATATTAAGAAGTGTATGTCATAATGGACATGTATTAAATTTAAAAAGTTTGTTAGAATTATTGAGTTGTGTAGAGAGTTTGTAGTATTTAGATATGACTAATTGTGAGTCAGTATAGATTTGAAGTGTTGCATTATAAGATACAGTTGAGATAGCAGATAGGATAGAAAAAAGCTCTGCCTTATAAGCTGATGGCCAAAGATGAATTTTAGCTGAAAATTTATAAAGAACTTGGTTGTTACTATTGATTTGGACCCATTCAAAGCCCATTGAGCTTTGTTTAGTTCCAATTTCAGTTACTAATCCATCTGCATAAAAAGTAAATTTCTTATAAGATAAATTGTTTTAAAAAATTTCTTTGAGTTTGTTTGAACAGTCATTGGATTTAAAGATTTCTGTAATAGTTGAATTTGATATATTGATAGTAGGATAGTTATGAAGAACTCATAAAGAATGTTTAATTGCTGTTGAATAAATAAGATCTAAGTAGTTAGTATTAAATTTGAGTTTAGGAGTTTTTCTTCCTAAAAAGCTAGTACAAATAGTTGCTAAGACATTAATTGTACATGTTTGCTTAATTCTATTTGAGTTAAAATGACATCCAGTACATGGTGTGCAGTCTAAATCTGGGAGTGGGTAATAGTAATTATGTTCTAAATCAATATTTGTATTTCAATATGAGATAGAAAACTGGTTTGTGTTGGAAAAATATTTGCGAATTTTGTCAATAATGATTTCTTTATTATCATTATTGTAGGTAAGTAGCCAAGGTTTAAGTTTTTTCTTGATTAGTGAAGTATTATATACAAAACTATTAACTTCTAGAGGTTGAAAATGAAGAAGGATTAGGCAATGTAGTTTGTCAGATAAGATTGTATCTTCCAGGTAGGTAAATCAGAGAGGTTGCCTTTTTTTTGTTAGATTGTGGAATCTTGATAAAAGATGGTGCCATTTAAGTAATGTACTATTGTCTGCAGTACTTAATTGCTCTAAGTAGAGTATATTGTTTTTTC